CGGCAACCTCCAGCCTTAAAGTGGACTGTAATTAGAATTGTAGAAGTTTTACTCCCACATCGACACAGTTTAAATAATTCAGGAGGCGGTCTGCTGTGGCCCTGCATGTCACAGCCAACCAGGACTGGGCGGGATACAATGTGCCAATGGAGAGACTCCCTACGCTGGAATCGGACCCATGTCTTCTGCATGCAACGGTGAAGCGCCTAACCGCTGTGCCACTGACACTAGTCCAAAGTGGGTTGAAAGACAAAAATAATATCAAATCTTCTGTGCACACCAGCAACAAGTTAGAGTGACCTCGTCTTCTTTTGTTGAAGAGAGACACACGTAAACACGTACATAGTGCGACAATGCTTGTTGTGTATCGTCGTCTCCCCCACCTCCCTCCACCCCCCACCCCCACCGCTCTGCGTTTGCCTCTGTTTTACCTCTAACCACTGAGCCAAGAGCTCCGCCTACTGAATGAGAAACGGGGGGTGTCAATACAACCGGGTATGTTCTACTTATTTTTGTTATTGTTCCTTTTGATTTCACGGTTGTTGGTTTTTTTTTTTGCGTTAGGTTTAAAACAATGCCTGCTTTGTTTTGTTATGTTGGTGCTTTATTTTGTTTTTGTTTTTGTTTGTTTGCCCAACACTTACATTATTGTCAGAAAGACGATAAGCTTTTCTTCACCTCGTGAAAACAAACACCTGTATTATACAAATATATCTAGCAGAGGGTTATGATCGTGTAAGACGAAAAACTATACATTATTGTACAACAATCGTTTCGTGTAGAACCCTCCAGATGCTTCCCCTCGGAACAGCAGCAGCCAGCGCTCGCGTCTCGCTTCGCTTGCTCGTCGTCTCACTGAATAATGGCGCCGTCCACTCGGGAGGTTTTCCCTACCTGTGGGCAACCCCCAGCGCCTCCCACCTACCTCCTCCTCCTCCTCCTCCGCGCCCGCCCCGTGGCCCAAAACCCTGGGCCTATCTCCACCAAACGCAAGGTGACTCCAGCAGAAGATCCTGCGACATTAACGGTCTCATCTTGCTGGACTATCTACTGCCCCTGTGCTTCCTCTCAATGATCAGGACGTAAGGATATATATTATTATACTACAGTGTGTACATTTTTTTTCTTCTTTTTGGCTTTGACCTTTTCTTGGGAGGAGGAGAAATTTCTGTACCTGCAGACAGGTTGGATAAGCAACAGTGGAAGGAATACTTGTAAAGTTCACTTAGAGGAGGTTGTTTTTGTTTGTGAAACCTTTGATTAATGTTGATTAAACGTGGTGAGTTTTTGTTTTAAGACTACCATTTTTCGAAGTAGGTGGAACATACACACGTTACTTCGATTTTAAACCAACCGCTTCCTACTGAATCAAATTAATATCTACCCGAACAGCTTTTATATTCCTCGTTGTATTCTAGGGTCCTTGAAAGTGGCAAATTTCTTTCAGTTTAAGCATTCATAAACTCATCAGGGCTAGGAGTATGCACGGCTGATGCGATAGTTAAGCCGTTGGGTTTGGCATGTAAGCTTTTTCTGTCGTCGCTTTTTAGTGATGGAACGTGCGCACACTCCCAGAGTTTACCTAAGCTCTCAGAGTTTAGCGCAAAGTTGACACCGCAAGAATAATTGGTACTCACTTAGCATCTTTCGTTTTTTTTGTTTTTTGTTTACTGCTGTTATATTCTCTATCTCTATGCCAAGCTCATTTTAAGAAAACTTGCCTGTTCCATTAAATTGTCACTAAACGCCTCTAATGGTTATATTGGTTATCGCCGATTAAAACAATTCTTATAAATACTTACGATCATCTTGAAAACTCAAATTTCAATCGTTTTATTTTTGTTTTGTAAGTGGAGCGGTTGATATTTTGTCCGGTACTGTCAATACTAGATCTATTCCATGGAATGGTTTTTTCTCTGTTGAACAGATTGTAACTTTGTATGTTATAACAGCCTTTCAGTAGAGTTGGTATTCCTACTTCGGTGAAAAGATGCTTATAAAAATAACATAACATTATACAAAGAAAGCTTCTTGAAAAGTCTGGAAAAGCTGTGCTGCGTGAGAAAATAATATAAAAAATTATGTTTTTTTCTAATTCAAAATTTAGGGTCTAGTAAGAACCACTGTCATTATTCAAATAACGAATGAGCCTGAGTATTTATTCCTCAATATTCTAGATATAGCCATTCGGGTTTTCTCCTCTCGGTTTTGGTTTAGCAGAAAGTTATTCAGTGAGGAGAATGTTTAGTTCCCCACTTCAACTTCCATTTTGACATTACTGCTAACCTCCACCCTCCAAGGATTACCACTAATGATATCAGTTTGATAAGGGAGACAGAAACCCACCAAGTGTTTTTTCCATCACACTCAAAAGCTGTGGATACTTTATTTCAAAGTCCAAGGAGGCTGGATATCCCTCTGTTGACGATTTATAATCTAATCACGCCGCAAAGAGGATTGTTCTTGGGAGATCGCTCCGATAGATCCAGCTCCGAGAGGTATGTGTCCCTGAATGCGTTATCTTTGTTTAATTTCGGATAAAGGGTTAACAGAATTATGTTAATATTTTTTGCCCACAGGATGAAGTCAAGTTAAGCCTTTAATGTTGCTCAGACGAATTTCGTCTTTGGAATCAGTGTATTGTCTGCCAAAGTGTGTTTGTTTCTGTTGTTTGCTTTTGATATTTTACTTATGCTGTAACCTGCATTGTTTAGACAATGGCGTCCCTTAGCTCAGAAAATATTATTATTATTTTTATACAGGATTGTGAAGCGGTGGCACTAGTTTAAATCCCTCAAATATGGGCTGTTTATGAAATGACAAAGGTTTTTCTTGTTTGGCTCAGTCCTGTCGGAAATGGTCTTTAAATCTGAGAGCTTTGCCTCTCGGATAACTGACGTGCCTCTTTGACAGGGTCATTAAACCCTCACAATAGCATACCAAATCACATTGTCAAAGCAAACCATGCCGTACTATTTCATACAGCACCATTGTGGACCTTCTTAGAACGTTCATTCCGAACAATTTACTCAACACAAGCAGAAGAAACCTAATAGGCAGAGAGACACAGAGACAGAGAGAAAGAGGGAGAGAGAAAGAGGGAGAGAGAGAGAGAGAGAGAGAGAGAGAGAGAGAGAGAGAGAGAGAGAGAGACAGAGGTGTCAATAACAGAGTTGCGATCTATACCAAGTGACTTTTTATGTTTGTGTTGATTCTGGCCAACTGGCACAATGGCAATGGTCTATGTTACTGCGAGCATCCGTACAACTCCAACATCTTGGTATTAGTGTCACCACATGTACATATTATGTATTTGGTCCAGCTTCCCCTACCACACATTGAACTGTTGCTTCATAGCTCACCATTATGTGTGTATGCATGTGTGTGTGTGTGTGTGTGTGTGTGTGTGTGTGTGTGTGTGTGTGTGTGTGTGAAACGCGTGCACGTGTCTAGACAATAAATATTAATTTCAGATCATACCTGTGTCAAGGGATTACGAATACTTTACAAAAAACAATGTTTCAGATTCGTCTGCTCCTTTCAAGGAACCTAAATTGACCCGCCTGTAGTGTTCCCGCTGCTTATATGACCCATGTTTCAGAATATACAAAGACGCAACTGTGTGTAAACATCAAGGACCGAAAAGCAACGCAACACAAATGCAAAGCATTATAATATTATAATTATATCAGCAAAGTTTTGGAAAAAGCCGTTCTCGTTCCTCTTTTCGAGAGGTAGCTTTAACTTAGAACGAATGTTTGGCTGTGGTGTTTATCTACTCCGCACAATACCCTCCCCTGACAGAGAACGACGAAGTCTGTGACCTCAACAACAACAGCGTTTGCTAAACCTTATAACAGCCACTTTTTCAGTAAACTCAGTAAACAGCCAGTGGTCTCCTCTCTTTGTCTACCTCTTTCAGGTCGTACGTGTACTTCAGAAACCTTAAATCACATGCTACAAAGACCACAGTTGGACTTTACTACATACATAAGACAGCGTATTCTCCAAGTCGCAGTTCATCATATCTGAATAGGCTTTTTTCTCCCTCCCCATCAAAATGACTTGGGGACTGGTAGCTGTCGGGGTTAGATTGTTTGCCTTGGCGACCCGAAGCAGGGCTCTAACTGGCGGTCTGTCGCCTCGTACCGTTCTGTCGGTAGCACCACGCGAGGCAGTCGTTTTGAATCACTTGGGGACGTATTGTCAGTCTTACAAGTTCGTGGGGACATTGCACTATCTTAGTGTGGATCTATTCACCTACTTCGTACGAAATAAAAATAAAAACCGCGCTTTTATTCAACTGAAAGCTCAGGGTTCAGCGAGTTTAAGACGTGCTATTCCTTGTCATATATGGCGTGAGTTGGTCTTATTTTTGGAATTTGGTTTTTGTTTCAAGACTGCTTTCCACTTTCGATTCAGTCTTGTTTCAAAAGTCACGTTAAATTGTTATATTTTACCTCTTAAGAAATTTCAAAATGCTTTTTTTTCTCCCTATCTACCTGCCCTTGAACGGGGGTAACTTAATTCTAGCTCTGCTTCATTTTATGTAAACAAGGATATACTTCAGCATGCACTTTTACCTTCCTCTTTTTTTCTCCATAGTCTGTGCACACTGAGAGTCTGTTCACCATAATGATAATAATAATGTTCATAGGAGAGTGGTCAGCCTCCGTTTGGACGTAGTGCATTGTACGGGTCTAACACCCAATGTATCCCAGTAAGGTCAAGCAAAAGTCGATGCGCCCAATTTGACGCACATCCCCAATAGGACTGAGTTATGTGAACCCATAAATCAGTCAGATAAATGGTGTCTTGGCCTATTTTTTATTTTTTATAGTACAATATATATTACTACCCTGCCATCTTGTATACCCGAGCCCGGTCCAAAGCCCTGGACCCCGAAACTGTTTCTTTGAGGATGGTCTTTTCGAGGTCAGCAATCTCGTGACCTTGTCATGCTATTATCCTAAATTCCTTCTCTGATGTCTCCTTTCTTCACGAAGCCTGGCCATGGTGTTCTGTCGTGCCGCGAGCCTGTTTACACCCCCCCCCCCCAATCATCCCATGCATAAAAAGCACATTACATTACGCATGTAAAAATAATCACCATCGTCTCTTTTGCATACGTGAAACCGCGTCCCGACTCTGCACACAAATAATTTTCGTCTATGCTCTTTACCAGCGGGTGGAAACCGCATTGTTAGTGTCTGAAGTGTCATGTAAATGCAAGATTCCCGTGTCTAGTTCTATCTGAGAACATCAGAACAAGTCCATTAGCTCTGTAATGAGCCGTATCCACTCGGGGTTCCATAGACCAACGGAGGACCACAGTAAAAGTATTATAATTGAGTAGTTCTTTGCTCAGCATAATATGTGAAGCGTGCTGACAAAATGAGTAGTTTCTCGGATTCAAACCTTATGGAAATAGATACACATCAGGCTTATAGGTGAACATTTTACAATTAATAAGTATGAAATAATAAAAGGCATGTTATAGTTAAAGAATATAAAGCACCAGAAAAATTCAACAAATTTGACCACAGTGTCGATATTTGGCCGATGTCTCCATTTGTGGATTGTGAGAAGTAACTCATTTTGTCAGCACGCCTCACATATATCAAACTTTCTTTAACCCCCCCCCTCTCTCTCTCTCTCTCCATCTCTCTCTCTCTCTCTCTCTCTCTCTCTCTCTCTCTCTCTCTCTCTCTCTCTCTCTGGGAGGGTGGGAGGGGGGGGGCGGTGTAGTGAAAGGGGGATAGGGAAATCTTTTACTTGACGATAATTGAATATGTATTTATTGAAAATGGTCGACTAATCACAATCACATCAGGAAATGCAAAAATTTCCCTTTCCCTGGTAGTAGACATTAGCCACTTTAATGGTGTGGTCTTACCCGCCCCCCCCTCCCCGTCCCTCTCCTCCCCCTCTTGTTTACGTTTCTTTTAAGTTTTGTAAGTTTAAGTGATAGGCCAAGACACCATTTATCTGACTGATTTATGGGTTCACATAACTCAGTCCTATTGGGGATGGGCGTCAAATTGGGCGCATCGACTTTTGCTTGTCCATCTCTAACAAGACTGAACGGTGACTCCAAACAATTCAAGTTGAAGAATTTATCGTTGGAGATTTCAATCGTGTTATTCCACGTCCATTTCCAGTTTGGTTCCAATGGAGCCATCGTTACTGCCTAGTAAGTTTTTTTTTTGGTTTTTTGTTTTGTTTTGATTTGTTTTAAATCCCAATTAATGCAGTCCGTATGGCATTGTTACCCACTGGATGTAACCTCCTCCTTCGTCGGTGTTTTGTTGTTGTTGTTGTTGTTGTTGTTTTGTGGGGGGGTTTTCTGTGGTTTTTCCCATAAAACGTCTTATAACAGAGAAGGTGGCGAAAGCTCAGGATAGTAGGAACTTGAATTTTCTCACTTTTTGTTTAAATAGACGCCGATCATATTAATAATTAGTTTTGAGTTTTTGGGTTGTTTTGTTACATTGATTTCAGTAGCCTTTTTGCACGATTAGGGTGTGGGCTGAAGGGACCAGCCTTAGTGTATGCCGTCCAATTGTTTTTGGGCATGATGGTCAGTGGTCATGCTGATGTCTCCCATTTCTCGCTGGTCTCTAATGTTTAAAATGTGTCAGAAACATTTCCTTCTTGTGTATTCCTTTGTGCTCCGTTCTTTGCTATCCACAGCACTCAATGGATGGTATCCTGTTCTTATTTACAGCTGGTTTGAGTAATTGTTTTGTTTTTCTTTCTGCCAACAATTATAATATGACTGTTATCGTACAGTAGATTTTTAAAAAAATTCATCATCTGTTTTGTTATGTCCCTAAAACTGCCTAATCCGTTATTTTGCTCGCATTTTTCTGAAAATATGTCATGTTTTTATTTATTCCCAACTGCTAATGACCATGAACGTGACGATATTTTTTTTTTGTGTAACGTAAACGAAACACACCCTGTCTCTTTTTTTTAGACTGTGGAGAGAAAGAAAAGAAAAGAACAGACAGGGTCAGTCGTTGGTATGCGCATTGTCTCAGAAATGACAAGACACAAATAGAGCCGATATCGGATTTTGAAGGGGGCTTTATTTTGACACTGGTCCAATTTCAGCCAATCGATAAGGAACCAGTGTCGCCCAAATAGGTGTCTGGGACATTTATAGCAACGTTATACTTATTATAGAACATTCTTGCCCTGCGATCCCTGTCTCACACTGTTTGCTGATCGATATCACACCTTCTCAAAACCTATTGTTTAAGGGAGGGTTGTATATCATTCAAGTTTATTGCCATTCAGATTTAAATTTGAGGCGTGCTGACAAAATGAGTTACTTCTCACAATCCACAAATGAGACATCGGCCAAATATCGACACTGTGGTCAAATCTGTTGAATTTTTCTGGTGCTATTTACTATAACATGCCTTTTATTATTTCATACTTATTAATTGTAAAATTTTCACCTATAAGCCTGATGTGTATCTATTTCCATAAG